CAGTACAAATCGGCAATTTCATACTTTAACCCCTATTATTTCTCTTTAAGGATTGCAGAGAACTTGCAAAATTTTGGTTTTCAACTGAAACCCTATTGTTATTAAAATCACATTTGTCCCAAAATTTGAAAATTGCCCAGAGGTCTAACAGTCTGTCAGTCGCCATCGGGCGCTTGTTAATGTCGGATCTGTGTCAAATTTTCTAAAAATTATTATTTTATTCATATAATAATTTTCAGCGCTTTGGCGCTTGGGGCGCCCCCCACACCTCACGTCCTAAAATGTAGGCTCACGTTGAAATACCTCGCTTTAATTAAAACGTTTTAAAAATGTATTCTGCGATTGTTGCATAAGATGCGCCAGATATACAGGGGACTTGAATTGTCATTCCTCTCCTTTCGTGCTTATCGTTATGTACTATAATGTATATAGGGTACTTTAATTCGTATATACAGCGATTATGGCACAAGTGAGGCTTCTTCCGTACTGATCCTCGTGTGGTAGGTCCCGCTGCGGAGTGAGGGCGGCCAAATGTTAAAACACGCATGTACCGGTCATTACGATGTGCTCTCCGAGGTCAGCTATTTTTGTTATGAGGTTTTTTTAATAAAATGTAAGTGCGTATTTGACCTCCATCTCACCTGATTGGAAAGGGACGATGAGGTCGACGACGTAGCATGCACACTTAAATACTGCCTATTCACTTTCACCTTGAACAGGCTAAAGTTATAGCGTTCAGGGTACAAGTCTGCATGCAGAGAATTTCACTCCTTTGCCTTTCACCATATAAACGTAGAAGCGAAACGCTTCGCACGAATCTTTGGGATATCCACAACATAGGGGTAGAACCACTTCCTACGTCTAGTCCCACGATGATAAAATGGGGAAAGCAGAATTAAATCATGCAATTCCATCGCACTATCTCCGTGATAATATGTCCTGTAGAATACCGATAAGCAGATAACTTTACAGCGGTGTTCAAGGCTCGGTAGCTTTGCCTCCACTAAATCCGTGTCGCCTATAAGCCTTTTTTGACCAGTTGGTTTTTAGCAGAACCATCCCATAGGTGGCAGCAGTAAGTACTCTATGACTGGACTTGTGCTTGGTACAGTTGCAGCAACTATCTCAGTGCGAAGTATCGCCTCACCTTGGAAATGATGTTAAGCTTCATAGCCGCATATTTGGCCATGATTCGTTTTTTGCTGGTGGCTGCGTCACTATTACCAGTGGTAAAGATCATCATTATTGTCAAACGCATGGGCACGGATTTTCTTAGGAGAGGGTTTATTCCATTGTCCGCCACGCTGGTCCAATATGGATTGGGGAATTCGTTTTCTAGGGGTTGTTAATCTTCTGCGATATGTATGTTACATTGCGATGTTTTTCCATGTATTGCTACTAAACATTCAAAATGTAATAACTTATGAATGAAAGTCATATGGACGGTTACCTATTAGTAGTTCGAAATGACATTTCCAGAAATAACGTTTGGTCGAAATTTTATAACCTCGAAAGTGATTTTGAGAGGAAAATGTTTTTTCTTTTAAACGTAACTTAATAGGTTAAGTTACGTTTAAGTAGGTTAGGTTAGGTTAGGACCTAACCGAATCGAATCGTGTCTTTGCGATAAACATTCAACATATCCTGAAAGAACGACTGTTTCGTTATAATTCGGTTTTTGGTGTTATGAAAATTCGAACAAACTTATTTCGGACAAAAAAACTTTCGAGTTTGTGACAGGTTACCCACACGGCCGTACCGTCACAGGGTTTCGAATTATCGACCTCATAATTGAGAAACAATCGTTTTCCCACTGAACAACTATAATCACATAGTAATACTTATAACTGCCTTACACTGAGTAACTACTCTACGTATATCTATATGTCGGAGCCAGTTTTCACTTCCAAACGTAATGTAACAGAATTCGGTTCATTATGTACGGGATTTTTTTAAATTTCAATTGACGGGACGAATAAGTCGTGTGCCTGGTGATAAGCTACACGCCTGTCCATAACAGTTGCAGTGCTACTTAAAGCTTTAAATCGCAAGGATCTGAGGGGTACTTTCACTGCGCCCGTCACCCTGAGACATAAGTTGAGAAGACTTCTCAAGTTACCAGCACCTTTATTCTCCAAAAACTGAAACGCTTGGCGGCAGTAATAGGTAAACTGGCAGTACTTACCTAGACCAGTTCTTTCACAAGGAGTGAACTCTAACTCTACTGCTACAAAAATTTAATGTGCTTTGTAAAGGGATAAGTCTTAGCTAATATTATTACGTGTTGCTTTGTAATTATTAGAGAAACGCTTTACTAAACTATCTACGAATCGTACTAACTAGCTCGATCATGATTTCTCTGCTTGCAAATGTTACGTCAGTTTGACAGGTCAAATTGGGTGAGGTCGCAGAGGCGCTGGTGTCGTTTGAATCTGACGGTCGTTGGCAGGGTTGCCATATGAAAATAAGGAGTGAAGTTGATGGCCAATGCGTTATAAACGAGCGCGGATTGACAATTTTGTGAAAGTTACTTGGAAAGTAAACACCGAGCGCGGCTGCTCCCTGTGAATTTCGCCGTGACATTTAAAATCTGTTTTAACCTGGTCCGTCTTATGCACTTAAGAACTTATTACGTGAAAAGTGGATAAACGAATGAAATAGAATCACCTGACGTTGTATTTTATTACCGACTTAACGAGTTGATAAGAGTTAATAGACCAATCAGATTATCAAATAATTCCTGACTAAACTTCAAGGAAGTAATACACATAGAGCAGATGATTTCTGCATTTGAAACCTTGAAATTGTTATATTGTATTTAGTTTTATATTTTTGATGTGTAATTAGCAATTACTTTATTAGAGTACTCGTAGTGCATTTAGAAGAAAAGTTTTGTGTGTAGTAAGAAACTTTTTGGTTCCTGATTTTTAAATGTTCCGGGGTTTCAGAGTGTGGTATTAACTGATCTATGTGCATTACTTGAACTTTAGGTAAATATACAGTGCCTGTTTCGGTTTCTGATAATAAGTATTTTGATGTTACAGGACTATCAAACGAAGTCATTAACTATTACTTACTGTCGCTTGCGGTGGCGGATCTCTTCTGTGGTTTGTTCGTGGTGCCGCTGTCCGTGTACCCGGCCATTACCGGTCGCTGGATGTTCGGCGACCTGATGTGCCGGTTGGTCGGTTACCTGGAGGTCACCCTGTGGTCTATCTCCGTGTACACCTTCATGTGGATCTCGGTTGACCGCTATCTCGCTGTCCGGAAACCTCTCCGATATGAGACGGTTAGTTTAACGGTAGATATCTTTTTTCTTCAGCTACCTCACCATTGTGCAATTTTTTTAATAGTTACACCTATAAAATTTTAAGATACATTTTCAGGTTACTCTTTAGCTAGTGCTTGATTTCTCGTTTAGAAATTTATCTAATACCGACTGCTTTTGTGTACGATTGCAGTTTGTAGCTGTTTTTCTATTTTCCCTTTTCTTCCCTAAAACTTTTTTTAATTAGAAGTTACGGTGGATTTTTTAAATTTGTTGCACAATGTTAACCACACCTTCGGAGAGACTTTATTACTAAGCACTGTGCTTGTGCGCAGGTGCAAACCAGAACTCGAAGTCAATGTTGGATGATATTCACTTGGATCTCAGCTGCTATGCTATGTTGCCCACCGTTGCTCGGCTACAAAAAGGAAGCAAACTTCGACAAGGAGACCTTTATCTGCATGCTAGACTGGGGCTCCACTTACGCTTACACAGCCACACTAGCTATTCTCGTCCTAGGCCCGAGTGTGATATCTATCGTATATAATTATTATTATATATTTGCTATGAAACGGAAGTTGACCAGCGGTGTGCCAATTCACGACAAAGAATACGCAACTGCTCTTGCTGAGAATCTGTCCAATCCCAGCCATTGCATGAGTTTTCTCTTAGTGACCATTTTTTGGCTCAGCTGGGCCCCTTACGCCGGGGTTAGACTCTATGAATACATCACGCGTGAGGAATTAAAGATCCCAATGTTGCACTTTGGCGTCGTCTGGGTTGGAATATTGAATTCATTTTGGAAGATTGTCATTTTGATCTCGCTAAGTCCTCAGTTCAGGCTTGCGCTTAGAATTTTGTGCCTCACAGCGTGCTGTTGCACCAAAGGACGTCTGCAAGCCGAATTGATTGGCTTAGATAACGATGACTGAACTTACATCTTATTATGTTATCGAGGTTACAGAAGTATATTCACTACAATGCATTTCTAAACGTTGTTACTTACCGTCACGTAGAAAGAATTTATGCATGTGTTAAACTAGTTTCTATGTGAAATTCTAATATTAATATATTATAAAACTGCGTGTTTAATTCCATAAATTCTAATTACTAAAGAAAAGTGATGTGGTTTTAAAAAAAATAAACTTATATTCCATTCCTAAATGTGAACTAATTGTAAGCAAAATATATTTATTGTAAATAGAAATTACAAATCAAATACTATTTATTAGGCACATAAGCAAAGCAAAAAAATTATTTATTAGTTTTAACATTCCAAAGCAAGTATAATAATCACATTAGAATAGGCACGTAGGCAATAGCAACTGTGTGTTACAAATTTTTAGCGAAAATATAGAGTGTTGATCTTGAATAGAACAAATCGCGTTTAAAACCAAACACTGTCGTAACTCAAAATTGTGGGATTGAGAAAACATGATCGGAAAGTTACAAAAAATACTGAATAATATAATAATAATAACGTACACACTCACGCGGGTCCCATGGACACACATATTGATAACCACAAATTAGACCCACATACGAGAGAAAGAAATCGTCAGGGAATGTCCAAATCCGCGTAAGTAGCATTAGTAAAAATTTCAGAGGAGAGTGATTTAACGTTATTACTTTGGCATTTAAATGGCTACGACTTTCATTGCACAGTAAGCATTAATTTATGTTGTCTACGGACTGATATTGATTCCCGTAAATCACGCTAATTTGGTAGCCACGACATTTACGCAGTTTTCATTTGGCGTCTAAATTACCGAAATGGAGACTCCTAATCAAATGCTAGTTACGCGTAACTGCACTATCCAGAAACGAAATGTAGCCCATACAAATATTTCTTCCGGCTCGAAAATAGAACCCGGGATCTACGCGTGGCAGACCAGCATGGTAACCGTTCGCCCACAGAGGCAGGTAAATAAATTAACAATTAATAACAAGCTTTGGTTAGTACAAAAGTAAAGGTCCGATAATGTAGTATGTGGTAAAGTTTGTTGATTTTTATAAATTCTTTCCATGAAAATAAGGCAAAGGTTTTTGGTTTCATTCCGACAGTTGAGTGTAGGTGTGTTTACGCCGCAAAAAGCACGTGTGGATTTCAATTATTTGTTATAATAAAATGTGATATTAACGAATAGTATTAATTTACTTCAAAGTAAGACTAAGGTGTGAAAATCTTTTAGGCCCTTATTGTCATGAAAAGTAATAAAAAATAGTCCATTCAGCATTTTTTTAAATTTTCAAATAGTATTTCGTTATTCCATAATTTTGAATTACGACAGTATTAAGTTTCATTTGGGAAATGTACACGCAATATACAATAGGCACAAAAAATAGGCAAGAAGTGGTTTAATTTTTTATCACTTCTCGGCATTTAGACTAAAGCCGAGATTTACAAAACGAACTTTGAGTTGGACTGAGCAAAAGTGGCAAACTTAAGCATGTTTTTCGTATTTACAAAACGAACTTACCCTAAGTTTAAGCAAGAAATAAAATAAACTTTGAGTTTACTTTATAATTTATAGCTTAAACTTAGGCAAAATTCGTTTTCTATACTAAAAATAATCTAGGTCACAGTTCATAAAAATCTACACAATATAACCTTGTAATGAATGACGTGCACTAATTTATGTAACTACTGAACTATTTTTATAAGCCTCGTTTTTAAATGAATAGCCTTTGTTTAAGTAAACACATTAAGTTAGAGTAAAAATAACACCAAATCAATGTTTATTTGTGAGAAATGAGCGGAGATTTTATCAAAAATGATTTAATTGATTTTTTACAACATGCAAAGGTTACTTCATTACACCGTATTTGCTAGAGATGAGGTATATCGATAGAAAGTTTTTGATAATTTTAATGAATTAATGTATAGTGCGGGTATTCATTACTACACCTATAAATTAATGATAGTAGTATGACAAATGTTTTTTGAAATTATCCAAAATCTTTATTGAAAATGCCTTTGAATTATAGTTGTGTGTTTTATGCCTTTAATATAATACAAAACACTTGACAAATCTACAGAATACGTCACTATCAGAATACGTTAGAAAAATAAAACCATTGTTTTAAAAGTCGAATACACTAAAACCTATTGACTTTACCTCATGTCAAACGTCAAATGAAGTGTCACAAGAATCATCCTAGTTTGCGTTTAGTATAAATACGAAAAACTTGCTTAAGTTGCGATTTTTGTTTATGAGAAGTTCGTTTTATAAATCTCAAACTTAGAATTGCGCAAAATTAATGGCCTTGACGGCGCCAAGGAATGCCACAAGCAAATAATATCCAATGAAAACCAACTCAGTTGACAGTTTAGCCAATCAGCAACTGGTATACGTTGCCGCCTTTGACGCCAATGGTTAATACAATATCTTTATATTGATCCATATGTATATCTACGTAAATATTAAGTTTTAAGGGTTTTAAAGCCAAGTCTATAACAAGTGAAAGCAATGATAATAATAATAATTACTACGCGTTTAGATTCGATGATATCACGGGTCATTTTTGTACTTTAATTATTAAAAATACACGTTATCATTTTATAAATAACATTTATAATAACGAATGTATTTACAGAATTACAGTTTGTTTATATACGTACAAATTTACTAATAACTAATAAAATGCATTATTATTATCAGAGATTGCAATAGGCAGAGGATTTTCGGAATTAATTAAATTCGTTATTTTTTTTTTGTTTCTATTACTTTTTACGTATTTATATAATCAAAATATTTGTAATTGTAAAAAATATATATTTTTTAATCATTCCGGTATCTTATTAGGTAACTATTTACTCCATATATTACTTGCAAGTTTAGCACGATTATTTACTCGCTGCAGACTCAAAATTATCGGAGTGAAACAGCGATATTGCGCTCTCTCTCTTCCACTTAGGCCACGGGCTTTTTGTGTAAGGGCAGGTGCATTGCTGCAATAAATGCCATTATAGTTAAATATCTATACTGCCTATACCAATTCTCTGGTTGTTAGCGATCGCCATTAGATATGTTGTATTATGTGCTCAGACACATGTTTCAGGTATTTAGAATAATATTAAATAATCTCTTTATGTATGTTTTTGTGTGTATGTACCTACTCATGGACATATTTAGAGGGACGCTAATAAAAATTGAATTATGATACCAACGTTCGTATGAATGAATGGCCACATATGCCAGAACGTTTAATCGAAATCAAAAGACGATGGAAGTCATCCTGGTATATATGGCCAATGATTCATATGAACATTGTTATCCTTATTTCAACCTTTTTAACCGACTTCAAAAAAGGAGGATGTTCTCAATTCGACTGTTTTTTTTTTGTATGTATGTTACGCGATAACTCCGGTATTTGTGAACCGATTTTCATGATTCTTTTTTTGTTGGAAAGGGGGTATTTCCATAGTGATCCCATTTCATTTTGAAGAAAATCATCCACCTCGAAGGGTGGCTGTTCACGCATGAAGATTCATTTTTATAAATAGCGCCTAACTTTAATTTAGGAGCAATTACTTTAGCAATTATTTAGTTGAATTTGCTATTTCTCCAATTCAAGGCGTTTTTCTCTCGATATACTTTGAGTAGTGTCGTAGTGAGAACCTATTTTTATTATCTCCAGTGTCAAGTCCTGTATAGTGGCGAACTAGGGGATATTTCAATGAAACTTAGCAAATAGACGTAATTCTACGTACTTTTGAGGTCGGTTTTTTTAGTACTCTGTACTGAGATTATTTAGCGTTCTTTTCAATATGTCTAAGAATGTATTTTTTGATAAATATCTATAAGATATCTAGTCAAAATTGGCGGATTGTTGGCAAAAATGTTTCTTTAATTTTTAAATATAGGTTGTAATTTGGCAGGTGATAATGTTGAATGTATAATGGAGCTCAAGATTGTCTATTCTTTCAATAAATATCCTTTAAGAGTTGATACAACTTCAAATGGCATTGGTTGATTCTACGTAACAGTGAAAGTGTGAATCAATCATTTTGGAAAAAATATATAGTATAATTGAGGACATACACTGATTAGTATACGGTGTGAAAACCCGATTTCTAAAAATTTTCACGATAGAAAAAGAAACCACAAACTTACCTCGAAATTTTACAAGAAAAACCGCTGTATTCAATAAGTACTTTATATATACCATTTTTTTTTTAATTTTAACCATTGACTTACAATTATATGGACGTCGGGTCCGCGCTAAAAAGTGTCCGAACTTATAGGGCGTTAAAATCGTATACAGAGCGTCATTCACGCTTTAGTTTTCGTTTGTTCGACTGACAGCGAAGCAAGCAAAATTAGACAGAACTGTGATGGCATTACAATTTAAATTCAATCAGCTTTTTCATATTCCTTTACGTGTCACTACGTTTAAATAGGTTGACTTGGGACATTTTTTTCGTGGTTTTTGTATTAGACCCGTCGTCCATTTATTTGTAAGTCAATGATTTTAACTAAACTACATAGAACACGTATAGTATATCCATATTTGAAATGGTTCTAATTTCGTTTGTAAAAAAATGCCGCTCGACCGGCGCAATAGAACCCATTCAGTAGGTGAAAAATGAATTCGAGCTGAGGTAGTATCAACTCTTAAGTAACTAATGGCTAGTTTACACGTAATACAACATCATAATATTCATTACAATCAACAAATATTACACAGAGTTCAGTGATTGTTCACACGCAAATTAAGTTAAAAAATTACAATTTCTTCGTCACTTAATGCGTGTAAACAAGCTGTAACATACTATGGTCTGTTTGCACAGCTTTTTACAAAGGTTTCATATTCAAGTGATTTGTATCTTCACATATACCTATGTATTACTCTTAAAAATATTGAAGAGTTCTGGATTGAACACTTCATGTCGACAATAACGCGTGTATAAATTAATTGCATAGTGACAATTGAGGCAATTCTTATTCATATCATGTTGTTTTTCAATTCGGTGTAGTAATGATATCATGTGTTAGTAGACT